CTGGCTCTGAAGTAAGAATCACATTATTTCACCTAAATTTATGGCTGAGAGAAACAGCAGCTGCACAGTTAATGTACAAGTTGCCTTAAGTTTCTGTAAACTGACTTTCCTTAAAGCGTCTTAAACCTACAGCATGTAACTTAAGGCAGCACTAGCATGAAACTCCAAATCAATCTACTCTGCTCCGCCCAGCGCTCCCTCTCCCTGCTCCACTATGATCTGCTATGCTCCACCGCACTCTGTCCAGCAATCCAAATATTTGTTGTTATGAAATTTCCATAAATGCGAATGCAACAAAACTTACTGATCAAGCAGAAATAACTGAAACTCTCTGGTTGGTTAGAGAGGCCAACCGTACTCAAAACATTTTTGGAGGTAATATCTCTGCACTGCTGCCAGTGCTGTTCAATGAGTCTGGGTCACTTCAGCAGCACCTCTCCATGTTAAGACAAGTTTTGGAGCAGGTTTCTACCAAAAAACAATTTAAAAAGTTACATATACTTTAGCTCTAACTTGCAAATATGATTGATCTGTAGGTGGATGCTGGCTAAACAAAGAGTCCTGGCAATTATTTTAGTTGAGGTGCACAGGAATGCATCGTTTCATTTATTTATATTAGAGTGGAGGTTTCATAGAAAGAACACACCTGGAATGAAACCTGGAATGGTAGCGATATAGTACTTGTGGTGAGTCTTTTATATTGAGATTGAGTTTGAGTGTAATTTTGCAGGGACCGGTTGGTTTTCCTGGACTCAGGGGAATGAAGGGTTACCTAGGGCCAGATGGTCCTCCGGGCCCGACTGGCTTACCCGGACTGCCAGGCAAACAAGGACGACAGGTAATCGATAACATTGTCATATAGACAGCGTTGTATTGCATGTCTGAACATATAGCATACAGTGTTAAAGGCATTCCAATGAATTTCTTTTTAGCCACTAGATGGTCTAGTGACACTCAAAATCTCACACCATATGCTGCTCTTTGTCACTCGTTTCCTTCCAGCCCTGTTTCCTAAAGCCGCACTGTCAAGTGGTCACCCAGATAATTTAGCAATTTAATATGACACAAAACATGAATGTTTAAAAATCTCAAATTACTCCCAAATTAAAATCATAATTCAATGCAAAGGTAAACTCATGACCATTCTAGGTCGCTACTGTTACCAAAACACCATATCGCATTCAGAAGAACGCCACATCTGAATCAAATCTGAGTTTTGTGGCTGATTTTATTTAGAATTGATTGAACAGAATTGATTTACATTTAGAATTCTGACCCTGACCATGGGGATAACATACACACAAGAGCTTTGCTCAAAACATTCTTGATAAACACCATAAATATAGGTCATAGAAGGAGCTGAATTTTTAGGACATGTCCTTTACTGTACTTAGAGCTAATTCTTTGTAGCAGGATTTCAGCCTATATTGGAATGATTTAAGAAGCCTTGTCTTTTATCCCACTCATTCAGCAAGCACATAGGATATATGTGGTTTTACCCGAGAATGGCTCAGGAGGCAGCATATAGACCTTACCACCCATTCACCCATTATACTCACATGTGCACTTTGCTCCTTTAGCGTAGAAATGCTTTTAGTACTTTCCTTGAACTGTAACCATCCGTTTTTTGAGACTGAGACATGCGGCTGAGATTGGATCGATTGATTAAAAGCCTTGTTTGTTTTGACTGGCTTCTTCTGGTTATGCCTTTGGTTTTATTTGAGCCAGAGTGAGATTTTATGCATGAAAGTTTTTCAGCCACGCTTTAGAAAGCCAAGTCCTTTCTGTCTGGCTTTCAATTACATAATATTGCTGTGTAAGTCTAATTCTGCCCACTGTTTCTTACTAAGATTGAAAATAAAATGGGTTTTCACTAGCAGAGTGGGTCAAACAGCTCAAAATCACACAAAATACTTTGTATAATGTCAAGAAATATCCCAGTTGAAAATTTAAAAATTGCTTATATTTACTCACAGAGGCCAGTTTTTGTATGTGAAATGTTTTTTTTTAGATTTCTTGAGCAGTCTGCTTCAGCCTTTATTCCGTAAAAAGCCCCTAGGGCAGGTGAGGTTGACAGGAAACTTTGTTTTCAGTTTCACATCACCTGATTCCAGTGGGAAAGATACTGTAATGTGGTTAATTTTCGCCACTGCTGGCAGTTTGCAGAGTCTCTGCAAGGCAGTTCTCATCCTCTTTGTCCCTGTTAGTCATTATTTTTATAATGTTTTTATTCATTGTTTTCTTTATTATCTACTGAAAAGGGCAAGAATAGTAAAACAGAACACTGCCCTTCACCTGGGAAACCTGGAAAAGCCCCAGCAAGTTAGAATGGGGATTGAATTGTTCATCTGGATTGGATGTACACATGTATACATTTTTTGTGATCTTAATGTATGTGAAATGCAAGACAAAGAAACACAGTATTATATGTCATACCTCTTAAAATGACCTCCCTCTGCCCCTCATTCATTTTACATTTAAGGGTCCCTATTTTGTGTGTTCAAATGTCTCTGTCCCCTTAATTATTCATTGCTGTCCCCCCTTAACAACACCCTTGCCTCTGTATTTGAGAGCTCATGTAAGAAAGAGGTTTGGATCAGTATTAAATCTGAGCGACCTTATTAAGATAATAGACAGTTGGGTTTTCTTATACAAGTGCTCCCCACCCCTACAGCAGTGTTATTCCAACCTGGTTCCTGACTTATCTGCTCTCCTCACAACAATAGTGGAACAGAAGCCATATCTGTGGCAACAACCTAATCAGTCTGTTATTCCACTATCAGCCACTCCCCCCATCTCACAGCGCTGCTGATGGAACAGGAATGTGGTGTGGTCTATGCTGGTAGAAAGCAACCCAGTGACAGGCAATGACCTTTACACTGTAGGAGCACGCTGTTTGGAAATATTATACCAGGAGTGGCAGGCAGACTTCAGCACTGCAGTTTACAGCTATGACTAATTAACAAGTTTAGAAATGTTGATGTTGAAAATGTGTTATAAGGAAGAAGTTATTTCTGTATATTTTTGTGGGGTCTCAAGGATGCAAATTTAGTTTACAACAAGCTTCACGGTGTACCAGTTTGCTTCTGTCTGTTGGGCCACAGTCCATTAAGCAAATTTTTTATATATTTCAAAGTAGACAAAAAACACAATCATATACTCATACTCTTGACTTAAGATTTAAATTGACTAGATTTTATTGACACCAACTCTAATGCATATTCAGGGTCAGAGAGGCTTGGTGGGACAAGAGGGACCCGCTGGACGTCCAGGTCCCAGGGGAGAGGTTGGACGTCCTGGACCACCTGGAGAGAGAGGGCCATCTGGTCAGAAGGTGAAAGCAACACCTGATCCTAAAGTGTTGCAGTGTGTCTTGAACAAAAACACATCTGGTAACAAAACATTTTCCTAAGTTGTGCTAACAGTTTTATTTCTTGGCTCAGGGAGAGTCTGGACTTCCAGGGGACAGGGGAACCCTGGGAATCAAAGGTATGCAGGGGGCTACAGGTGACCAGGGCAGGAAAGGTGACCCAGGGCCCAAAGGACAACCAGTAAGCATATACAGACATTTGTGATTTAAAACAAACGTCTATCTTAAAGCTACAGTATGTAACTTGAGGGAGCACTAGCATGAAACCCCAAACCAATCCATTCTGCTCCACCCAGCGATCCCTCACCCTGCTCCACTATACTGTACTGTGATCTCCCATGCTCTGCCCAGCTCTTCAGATATGTGTTGTTATGAAATTAGATTAAATGAGAATGCAACAAAGCTTACTAATTAAACAGAAATAATTGAAAATATCAGATTGGTGAGAGAGATCAGTCCTATTCAAAAGCTTTTAGAAGCTGCACTGCTGCCAGTGCTGTTTAATGAGTCTGGGCCACAGGAGGTTTTGACAGTACCTCTCCACATTAGAACAGGTTTTGGACCAGATTTATACAACAATAATATTTGAAAAAAGTTACATACTATACCTTTAAAATAGCACAAGAGTGTTTAGCCTGGAATAACTGTGAAACATTAATAGTCTTGTGGACATTGGTACAGGGTTATTTTATAAGAAGATTAGCACATGTTTGAGATTTACATGTGTTAGTCTCATTCACATATACAGAATCGACTACTATAAGCTGTGCTTCAACTTCAAACATGAATTAAGTAAATAAAACAATTAAGTATGAATGGAGTATTCAAATCAACTTTCATTATTCCAACAAATTAGTGTTTAAAGATATAGGAATATATAAATGATGTGAAAAATCCTCTGTTTAATGCCAGTAAATAATGAAAAATTTTTCTGTTTTTAACTTTTATTCTATTTAATTGCAATGTTTTATCCTCAGATTTGTTCCTTGTTCTTTAATGGTTGATCAAATGTTACCTTTCACACAAAATATAACAGTGCATGTCACTACACAGATCTTACAAAATTGAAATCATCTCTAGGAATGTGGGGCTTTTATAAGCTTCCGTGCTTTTTGTAAGACTTCTCTAAATATAGCTTCAGGGCTTCGGTAGCCAATCTGTGGTGAGGTTAGAAATGTGTGTGTCTTACACTTTTTCACCCTGAGTGGTGTAACAAATTATCCGGGCGAGACCAGGAATGGAAACATTCCTCCTGGCAAGGCCAAGTTATGTATGCGCCTCACATGCCAGAGACCTGAAAAAGACGTGCTCTACTTTACTTGTGTAACTCATGAAAAAGAATAAAAAAGAAGCAACATTCAATCCTTCCCTCTGATACTTATCTCCATTGATGCTTGTGAAACAGAGAACAGACTCAGGCCTTTGGGTCAGATCTCTTTCCATTTATCAGTCAGTAGCATTTCAGCCAAAGTATACGCACAGTGTCTGCTACCCTGGATGACAGACAGTGCTCAGACACAGAGTAAGGTACAGACACCTGACACTACAATGGTTTGTTCAGGGGTGTGTGTGAGTGTAGTTAGACATAAAGCCTTGTGTGGGTGCCCCAGTCCTTTTGTAATGGTCACTGTGTATCATCTGTGTGTAGAGCACCTGTGTGGATAAAAAATGGGAGGAAAAAAGTCATACACTGACAAGTTGCATACCCTTTTTGATGTGTTTGTCAAACACATACTAAATGTCCCAACGTTGGTGTGTAAAAGACAAGGCTCCTCCATTGCTATGATGTGAATGTCTTGTCTGTTTGTAGGGGGAGTCTGGAAATCTGGGGATGACTGGTTTGCAGGGCTTTCCAGGGCCAAAGGTAAATCAACTAAGTAGCTATCAAACATTTAACCAGCCACTGGGACACTGAGCAGAAAGGAAAAAACTGAACATCAAATGAGAAAATAATGTATTGTACCTGTATAATGATGCATACCAAATGATGGCACCTCATTTTTCTTCAAACAGGGACCAGATGGAGATTTGGGATTGAGAGGCTTCCCTGGCCCAAAAGGCCCTGTGGGTACTTTGGTAAGTTTAATAAAAATGAAACAGTAGGCACACTATAGTATAGCTAGTGATAGAATAATGGAACACAAGGCCAAAATAACAAGAGTTCACTTCAGCCCAGTTGTGTAACCAAGTATTTATGAAGATATAAGTAAAATGTAGAGTACATGCACCTTTAATTGTAATTACCACAGGAGTTGGAGTTCTAATGGACATATGTGGCCTATAATGTAGCCACCTTCTCAGCAGCCTGATTGTTAAGAAGGTGTAAATTGAGACAGACATGTTTGTTCACTTTCAATCCTAATGTTGTTTCAGGGATTCACTGGACCTGTAGGCCCTGAAGGATCGATGGGCCCAGTGGGAAAACCTGTATGTTTATCTCTGTGTGTGTGTGTGTGTGTGTGTGTGTGTGTGTGCGCTGGTATTATTCCTGTTGTTTACATAGTCCCATTGTGGAGATTCATCTTCCTTTTGGAACAAAAAACCAAGTTCCTAATATGTAAATAGTTAAGTTTTAGAGTGATGACTTGGTGTAAGGTTGGGGTAGTTCTCCAGGAAATGAATGTCAGTCAATGTGATGCCCTCTCTGCTTTTATAAAATCAGCCATGTGCTAATTCATAAAATTCAAGAGTGGGATGCGATGCCATATTTTTCCATGTTGTTATTTTTATTGTCCACAGGGACTAAGGGGTCCAAAAGGAAGCAATGGTGAAATGGTAAGGTCTGATTCCAACTTGTAATCGAAAACTGAAAGGTCTTCAAGATGATATAATGATTTACAGCATGTATGATTTCATGCTGATATACCATGTGATTATACAATATACTTTACTGAGGGGTCAAATTTGTGGTTTCCTCACTGGCAAAGCATTGATTTTGGTAGTTAAAAAGACCTACTGTGAATGATGAAGGCTGTTTAAAAATGCATGAATGCTACAGTGGCTGAGGTTAAGTGATAGTTTGATCTTGAGTGTAAGTGACAGCAAATAGCTATGGCTGAGTCATAGCAGCTGTTACAGCGGAGCTCTCATGGAGCTCGCTGTGAGGCCTTTACAGGACTCTCTGACCCTCTGATGTAAACAGTTTTAAGGAAATGCCTTGTCAAAATGTTAGCATGGCATCCACAGTGCAATCTGCAGATTAACTTCATTACACACTGTCCCAGTTTGTCATGTAATCTACAGTAAGGTTCTCATTTCAGCCTTAATCCCCCTTCAATTTACACTACCACACACACAGACTGAGTACACAGTAAGACCTTCACTTATCCTGTTTTCAGACACTGATTATTTTAAATATGTGCATACCCTCACATTTCTATGGATATGAACTACCTGAAACTCCACCAGTGGACATAAAGAAAACCAGCTGTCCCTGGTAGAGCAGTGTTAGGTCTCTGGTCAGCCAGATGGAGCCGTAGGTGACCGCATACAATATGATACACAGCAAGAATCCCACAGAGAGAGGTGAAGGAAGGAATAAATGAGTCATTCCCAGTCTGCTGACTGTGATACAGCATTTTAATGATCAAAAACACATTAATTTTTAAAGCTTATAATATTGTAATCATGTGGGAGTATTTATATTGGCTGCTACTGCGAAGTATTGAGAGTCACAGAGGTCAAAAAGGTCAAAAAGAAAACATCATTTCCATGTCATTTTACCCATTTTTAAACAGATTTTGTTTGTCTCACATTTTCAGGGGCCTCAAGGGCCACAGGGAAGTCCAGGACCCAGAGTAAGTTTGGACCTTATTATCACATTTCAGCACTATATTGCTCATACTGTATACATTTTACAGTAAAGTTCTGCAAGATTTTGAATTATGAAGCATAATGGATGAGCTTGCTTTTAATTTGGTCAGTCCATGCAGAACTTTTAGTTTTGGGCCAGTACATTACTGTGTTGTACCATTCATTTTTGATTAATGAAATGCTGTCCATGAATCTACATACACTCAGAAGCCCACAATGACAAAGTGAGAACATGTTTTAGAACATGGTTTCAAATCCTTAATATCTGGATTTGGACGGTGTATCCCATTCTTCCTGACAGATGCTCCCAAGCTCTGTCAGATTGGATGGGAAGCATGTGTCTCTCCACAGACGTCCTATGGAGTTTAAGTCTGGGTTACTCAAGGACAGTCAGAGATTTGTCCCGATACCATTCCAGTGTTGTCTTGGCTGTCCCTTCACTCCCAGGTTTTCTTCTTTGTATTTGGCTGTGCAGTGCGCTGACCTGTTTCCCTGTCTCTGCTGCTGAGAAGCCCCTCATAGCACGATGCTGTCAACACCATGCTTCACTGTAGGGATGGTATTATCCAGGTGATGAGCAATGTCTGGTGTTTGCCAGACATCTTGTTCTGAGTCCTGGTGGTTCCAGACTTCTTTCAGTTCACAATTATCAAGTCCACTGTCTTCTTGGAAACTCTGAGCTTTAGAAATGGTTTTATAACCTTGCCTCAAGCTATAACTCACTTCAATTTATCACAGAGGTCTACAGAGTTCCTTAGATTTCATGGCTTGCTTTTTGTCCTGACATGCAGTGTGAACTGTGGGACCTTATATACACAGATGTGTACCTTTTTAAACTATATCCAGTAAACTCAGGTTGCCACAGGTGAATATTAATAAGGTTCTAGAAACATCTCAAGGATAAAGCAAACACAATGCACCTGACCACAGTTTGGAGTGGGTCAACAAAGGCTCTGAATACTTTTAGAAATGAGAGGTTTTAGATGTTGATTTTTGAGAAATTTCTAGAAAAAAGAAAAATTTTTCATGTAATTTTAGGTCATTGAGTTTGGCTTTATGGGCAAAATAGCAATTTAATTCATTCAAAATGAATGTTTTCATTTCATTTCATTCTGTGTGAAGCCACTGTATACACAGGCAGAAAATACTGTGACTACAAGACTACTCCTGTCTAAGTTGACCTGGTCAGCACAGACAAGGCAGTCTAGACACTGTTGCTTCAGACAGATGTGACCGACCACAACCACAATGAGATATTTTACACTGTGTCATTCCATTTTTATTTTTGTTTCTTCCCACCTTAGGGACCCCCTGGTGCTCCAGGTCCAACAGTAAGTGTTTTATGCCCCTCGTGTAGACATACAGGATAATCTGTCCTGTATTGTGCTTGATGTAAAAGACAGAAGATTTGCATCACTGAGTTAGGAAAAAAATGTCCAGCTCTTAGGTAATAACTTTTTAAGTATATTTTAATAAACCTTCTACTTCCTTCCTTTTCTGTATCTTTGTTTAATTCTGTCTGGAGAGTAATCCTGTTACAGCTGTACTGAAAGCAGAGCTATGTGCCTGTACAAGCTGCAGTAGACCTAAGAGAAAAGGCAGAAGTTATAGAATCCATCTCTCTGTCAGCAGAGCTAAGCGAGGATGTGATAGAATCACGGCAGCCTTTTTTATGTGCTCAACTACAGATGTGCTAACAAATCATCTGTCTGTGACAAGACAAAAGAATCTTTGTAATTTTGTTCAGTAACACCAACAGGGAGCTCCATGATTAGCCTCTTTTGGTGCTGTGATAGGAATCCTCCTCACATCTGTTATGTGTTGTAACTTCTGGATAAGGTGTAGCTTTTTGCTATCAGAATGACCTTTTCTTGTTTAAACTATTCTAAGAAACCAGGAAAACAACTGTATCGGATGGCTTTTTTTTATTTACACACATCATGGGATGACTGTGGCATTTATGCTGAGTGGAATGTGTTTTCTTTTCCTCTACTGAAATCAAGAATGTGCTGGTTTATTGGTGCAAGAGTTACCTAACTTGTTTTCTTTGGTGTTAACGAATATTTTGATTAAATTCAAGTTTTTCTGTAAAACTGGATGTGTATTGAAATTGCCATGCTTTCTATTACAAGTGAACAAATGGATTAAAATCTTTAAGTTTAATAATGTTTTATTAAACTTAATATCCCGAATCCACAGAGGCTGATATATGATCACTCAGCAGTCTACAGTCTATCAGACTCAAATGCTGCCCTGAGGACAGAGGTGAGGCACTTAAGACACTCAGTTCGTCTACTGTAAGGGCCACATGGGTGGAGTGTTGCATGTATGGCAAACAAGTTGGAATATGACTAGATGACAAATTTTTATTTAATATATTATTTTAGAGTTTGACAGTGTTGTCTTTCTCATTCTGAACCAGAGTTTCCAGAACACAGAGGTGAGCCTGCTAGACCAGAATACGAAGATACTCCAGACTCTGCGTTACCTAAGCAGTGTGATTAAAAGTATCAAACAGCCTCTGGGTACGAGGGAAAACCCAGCTCGAGTCTGTAAGGACATGTTGGACTGTCAACACCCGCTCAAAGATGGTGAGAGTTTAATCTGCCTGGATGTGATTTTTTTATTTTTTTATTTTTTTGCACGACTTTTGTCACATATAAAGGTGCGCTTATACCTTGTATAAAAAACCTGTCTTGCTCTATCTCTGTCCTCTCTTTGAATTGGGGACTTTCAGGTTGGTTCTGGATTGATCCAAACCTGGGCTGTACTTCTGATGCCTTCAAAGTCTTCTGTAACTTTACTGCAGGGGGACAGACCTGTTTGCACCCACTGGCCTCTAATAAGGTAACCCAAAGAAACCGTGAGATACCAGTGGGAACAGTACAGTAATTGTTGGGACATTCACTATTTCTTCCATGTCCGCTGATTCTATGAACCTTTCCACATCATCTTGCCTCTGTTTTCTTAAATGCAGGAGATGCTGTAAGAGGTTATATCAGTTTTTCAAACATTTGAAATTCTTGTGTTGTGGTTATGATAACATACTGGCACAACTTTTTGTACTTTTACACACAGATGCGGTATTTCCTCCATTTACTGAGCACTGAGGCCAGCCATGTCATCACACTCCACTGCCTGAATGAACCAGCTTACAGCCCAGCGGACAGTTCCGGCTCCGCCGAATCCATGCACAGTGAAACTACCAAGCTTCGGTTTTGTGGCTGGAACAAACAGATGTTTGAAAAAGACACACTACTTGAACCGCACGTGCTACAAGATGAGTGCAAGGTAACGGGAAGGACAGAGAAGTGATAAAACAAATTCTTATAATTTTTTTTACCTACAGGCTTTCAGTAGCTATTACTTCAGTTATCTCAGCCTTTTGTTCAAGATACTGACCAGTCTTAATGACTATTGGATGTGACTATGACTTTCTTCTTTTTTTTTTAAATTATAAGAGGTGTTATAGATATTTGATTTATATTCTATTCTACAGTGCCTTGCGAAAGTATTCGGCCCCCTTGAACTTTGCGACCTTTTGCCACATTTCAGGCTTCAAACATAAAGATATAAAACTGTAATTTTTTGTGAAGAATCAACAACAAGTGGGACACAATCATGAAGTGGAACGAAATTTATTGGATATTTCAAACTTTTTTAACAAATAAAAAACTGAATAATTGGGCGTGCAAAATTATTCAGCCCCTTTACTTTCAGTGCAGCAAACTCTCTCCAGAAGTTCAGTGAGGATCTCTGAATGATCCAATGTTGACCTAAATGACTAATGATGATAAATAGAATCCACCTGTGTGTAATCAAGTCTCCGTATAAATGCACCTGCACTGTGATAGTCTCAGAGGTCCGTTTAAAGTGCAGAGAGCATCATGAAGAACAAGGAACACACCAGGCAGGTCCGAGATACTGTTGTGGAGAAGTTTAAAGCCGGATTTGGATACAAAAAGATTTCCCAAGCTTTAAACATCCCAAGGAGCACTGTGCAAGTGATAATATTGAAATGGAAGGAGTATCAGACCACTGCAAATCTACCAAGACCTGGCCGTCCCTCTAAACTTTCAGCTCATACAAGGAGAAGACTGATCAGAGATGCAGCCAAGAGGCCCATGATCACTCTGGATGAACTGCAGAGATCTACAGCTGAGGTGGGAGACTCTGTCCATAGGACAACAGTCAGTCGTATACTGCACAAATCTGGCCTTTATGGAAGAGTGGCAAGAAGAAAGCCATTTCTTAAAGATATCCATAAAAAGTGTCGTTTAAAGTTTGCCACAAGCCACCTGGGAGACACACCAAACATGTGGAAGAAGGTGCTCTGGTCAGATGAAACCAAAATCGAACTTTTTGGCAACAATGCAAAACGTTATGTTTGGCGTAAAAGCAACACAGCTCATCACCCTGAACACACCATCCCCACTGTCAAACATGGTGGTGGCAGCATCATGGTTTGGGCCTGCTTTTCTTCAGCAGGGACAGGGAAGGTGGTTAAAATTGATGGGAAGATGGATGGAGCCAAATACAGGACCATTCTGGAAGGAAACCTGGTGGAGTCTGCAAAAGACCTGAGACTGGGACGGAGATTTGTCTTCCAACAAGGCAATGATCCAAAACATAAAGCAAAATCTACATTGGAATGGTTCACAAATAAACATATCCAGGTGTTAGAATGGCCAAGTCAAAGTCCAGACCTGAATCCAATCGAGAATCTGTGGACAGAACTGAAAACTGCTGTTCACAAATGCTCTCCATCCAACCTCACTGAGCTCGAGCTGTTTTGCAAGGCGGAATGGGCAAAAATTTCAGTCTCTTGATGTGCAAAACTGATAGAGACATACCCCAAGTGACTTACAGCTGTAATCGCAGCAAAAGGTGGCGCTACAAAGTATTAACTTAAGGGGGCTGAATAATTTTGCACGGCCAATTTTTCAGTTTTTTATTTGTTAGAAAAGTTTGAAATATCCAATAAATTTCGTTCCACTTCATGATTGTGTCCCACTTGTTGTTGATTCTTCACAAAAAATTACAGTTTTATATCTTTATGTTTGAAGCCTGAAATGTGGCAAAAGGTCGCAAAGTTCAAGGGGGCCGAATACTTTCGCAAGGCACTGTACATGCATTAATTAATTTGTCCCATGATTCCTGGTTTGGACAGAGCAGATTTACAAATAGTTCTCCCATATAGACTTGTTATGCTCAAGGAATTCAATGCACATGTTAGACGATATTACCAGGGCCGGTCAGCCGTACTCAGGACAAAATGGAGGACTCAAACAGCAGGACTCAGAATCCAAGTTGAAAATAAGATTTATTAGATAAACCCAACTAGGTTAGGCAATGGACTGACTGCAGGTAGGAGGAATTAGTTCACCACTCAGTCAGACAAGGTTGGGTCTGGTCGGTCAGGCAAGTGCTTGGTGGAAGAGCAGGGCGCAGGCTGGTGCTGGGAGGACGAGGTTGTCAGAACTAAACTGTTGGTTACTGATGGAGAGGATGGCAACTGGGGTATCTGGCTGTAGTGAGGCTGACAGGAGGGTCTGGGGTGATGATGAAGAAACTGGCCTGGAGTGCAGCCAATCGGTGGCTCACTGGAGATCGGAGAGAAGTGTGGAAGATGAGGTCGGCGGGCAGGGTTGCTGTGGCTAGGTGCGGTCCTTAAAGGGGCAGACAGACAAAAGGCTGTGGAGGTCCAGTGACAGCCTGGAAGCTGTCTATAGAGACGAGGTCCCAGCAGGAGAATGGCAAGGCCACAGATCCGGTGGTGAGGAAACTGTCTGGAGAGTGGAGCAGGCACAAGCCACCCAGCAACAAGGGATCAGTTTGGTGATCAGAGCTGGAGTAGGACTGGGAGCAACTCCCACAGCAACAGGGAATGGGCAGGTGAGTAGAACTGGTGTAAAACTGGAGCCAACTTATTCAGCGACGGGGAAAAGGCAGGTTAGTAGAGCTTGTGTGGGACTGGAGACAACTCAGAAAAGGGCAGGAACAAACAAGTGAGCAGGACAACAAACTTGTCAGCACGTATGAGGGAAATAGACACAATTGATAGGAGCAAGAAGGTTGGCCACTGAATTGTCTAGTAAAGCACAGGACAGACTGATGACCAGCGTACGCCAGCGTTCAGGTTAGGTAGAGGTTGACTTAATCAGCTGATTGAAGGCAGCCGTGCAGCTCGTCTCCCGGTACACCTTGCCTCTCGCTCTCCCTGCCTGCTTGGGAAGTAGAGGGAGTACAGGTAGTGGACCTAACAGATACAGTATATATCATCAGTTTTTTGCCTTGGATAACAGTAAATGTTGTACTTCTGTATGTCCAAGCAAGCTCTGCGATATTTTGTGCATTTGGAATCATTTGACTTTTTTTTCTTCCTTCTTCTTTTAGATCCAAGATGGCAGCTGGCACCAGTCACGTTTCTTCTTCCATACTCAGGACAGTCGTCAGCTACCTATTGTAGACATACAGGAATTTCCCACATCACAGCCCAACAGTCAACGATATATAGAAGTCAGCCCAGTCTGCTTCCACTGACACCATCACTGACTTATAACCTACTTACATAAACTACTTAAATGTAACGGTGTTTAAGAATGGCTACCTACCAAAGAAAGATTTGAACACCAAGCGGGAGCAAGTGTCCATGGGTGTTTGTTGTGTATGCTGGAGAGCGTTGAAGAGACTTTGGGAAAGCAACAAATGCCCAGTGTCCAATCAAAGGCAGACCTATATTGAGGATCTCTGTTGAATATCCAGGCCAAAGGAGAACTTCTGAAATTGATCAAATAAATGTGTAAAATATGTTTCATTTTCACTCAAAGTGTGCTTAGATCGGCTGCATATGGACTGATAATTAGTCCCTGATCACAGGGAAGTGCCTCACTAAGCAGCACCCTATCCAAACCCCAAAACTCACACATCCCCCTGCCCCTCCACCCCCGAACGCACCCCAACCACTCTACATGGGGGCCTAACCCAAAGGAGCATGCCAGGCCTCTACATAGGAGCACTGTCTAACTAAAGGTTTATATGAGTGCAATAGCATGTAGATAATGTCTGACTGCTTTAAATATTTCATTTTCCGAATCAGCCGCTCTATTTTACTTTGGCATTTTTGTCTTTGGCCCTGACCAGCCAGACCTGTTTGTCTTGTCAAATGGTGCTCTACCTCTGCCTGCTTATTTGCTTCCTAGAATAGTGTCAAGTTAATCATGTTTGCTTTTGTGTTGTATGTACCGGTTACATCAAGATTTTCTATGTTGTATAAGGACTTAATTTGGTCAGTTTTAATTTATGAAACATTTTTGATACACTACATATTTTTGTAGCTTTTCCTTGTTATTTGGTAGGTTCTTCAGGGGACACCTATCACTGGTGCTGCAACAAAGAATGAGTCATCAATGAGTTTTTACATTTCCTGTGTATATATTGACAGCATACTGTATGTTTATTTATAACCTTTTTGGGTTTTTGTTTTTGTCCACATTGCTGTACCACAGTAAGTTATACTCTCAGAGAACTGTATGGTCAGCCACAACTCAGTCTAAAAAAGTATTTATGTTTAAAAGGTGCGTTTGTGTGTTCACGCCTGTGACTGTCATTTCACTTTATTCAGTGCTGGTTCATGGACTGGCAGCTACAGTAAGCCAGAGTCAAAATACACAGAAAACACAGTCATTTCATATTCTTAAGTTATATTACGTTGAGCAGTGTGTAATTATATAAAGTCTCTGGAGCATAAAGTTGACTGCAAATGTGTAAATAATAAATTGACAAATAAATTGAACATTTTATCCACAAATGGTTCTTTACTTTTTTGAAGTCATACTGTAAGTTATAATGAAATTGCAGCAGGATTTGATTTATGACTATATATAATGTATCTGGCCACATATTCTAAATCAAGGAAAAATGTCTTCTTTTGGTAGGCTACTCTGCAAAATAAGCATAGTGAGGTTAATATGGTGTGAAATGTGTGTAAAGTGGAAAAGGATATATTTTCTAGATCGGAAAGGCTGGTACCACTCGCAGGTTTTCTTTTTAAACTGCAATATTATGGACTCAGTAACTCACAGTGAGAAACAACTGATTGAATATGGTGCATTCACATGGTGAACAAATGGACACACACTAAAGAAACAAGTGGCAATGTAGCTCTATTGACCCACACTGTATGTCAGTTTCAGCATTGCCTCAAACAGCAACAAGGATTGCAGTGCTGAACTGATTAGTTGATTGACAGAAGTGTTATTGCCCAGAATTTTGGTACTTGATCAATCACTGAAGTCATTTTCTAAGCAAAAATGCCCCACGCCCAAAAGACAATCTCTCAAGGGTAAATATTTGCTAGTTTATCTTTTTTTTATTTCAATAAACTCAACACATTTGGGTTTTTGACTGTTGGTCAAATAACAAAAACAAATTGGGTGGTGATGAAGAGCCTTCTGGCATTTTATAGACAAAAGAACCACTTGATTACTAAATAAAATAACTGTCATATGTATTGGTAAAGAAATCAATTTTTTCCGGCACTCTGAATATGGTGAATGAATATGGGCAAATATTGTCCTCATCAGCCCAGTGTTTGTGTTTTGTATTTGACATCACTGGATGTCGTTGTAGTTCCGATCCCAAACACCGGGAGGGGCCAATGAGCAGGTCTCCAACCGGAAATCATCTCCACGTGTAGTCGATGGAACCGGCGGAAAAGTGTTTGTTTTGATGCTACTGGGTTCTGCCTACTGGTAATGAGATTGTAATGTGCTCAATAATTTTGCCAACAGCAGACGTAATGTCAGCTACGGAGAGCCGAGTGGAAAATGACGGGCTGGAAGAAGAACTGAAACGCACGAAAACAAAGATTTCGCTCTCTAAGTAAGTAGTTTGTTAGAGCCGCGAGAAGCTGCTAGCTTAGCGTGCTAACGCATTTGGTTTGCTGTAACGTTAGCCTAATATGCGCTTGCTAGAGCTGGCTTTTTAACACTTTTTGACACTCATAATGTTTATAAGTCAAGTAAATGACCTTCCCGCAAGCAGAACGCCAGTTAACCTAAAAGGGTAACATTAGGTGACTACAAAGTTAGCAAGCTAGCATTTAGTTACCACCGTCCAAAACGTGTCCTTTCCGCTCCCTCTTTATCCACTCACCCATTTGCAAGTTATGTATCAGAATGTCATACATCCCGAATGTCTGCAATGATTGGTACAAGGTGATTTTTTTGTACCTTATTTAGGTGGGCTATTTATTGCACTTCCCCCCATCTCGTAGCAACTTCTCTTTTGTCTCTGTTTGACTGTAAAACTGCTAATTATATGTTTATCCAACAGTTGTGGTGTGTGTGGATCAGACGAGGCGAAGTACAGGTGCCCTGCTTGTTTTACACATTCTTGCAGGTGAGATTATTGTCCTCATAAAGTAATTATTTTATCAGCAAATACAGTTGTTTCCAATATAGAAGTTGGTCTCCCCATCCCCAAAAAGCAATGCTGACATGGTTAGTAATACTTATTTTACACAAACTACTGTTTGTCGTTGAATACTGGATACTTCACTAACTGATTAATTGACTTATTGTTGCAGCCATATTATGATAACACTTTCTCCATGGTACAAAGGCCTGAAGCAGGACTGTAGAGTATAATTTATAGATGCATGTTTAACTCTATAAAGCTATTCTTTGCTCACATTTATAGAGGAATAAGCCATTTAATTACAAAGATTATGAGAGTGACAAAGCTGTGACATTACATTGCACCAATTTAACTGTGAGTTTTCTTTGAGTAATGTAACCCTAACATTACATTTTAACAATGCCAGGAGTTGCATAACTCTGAGCACTACTGCTTTTGATTCTTTCTGTTAGCAGAAACCTCAGTGCACTGCAGTGAAATAGTACAAAATGCCAAGTTGTTGTAAAACTTGTACCACATTGAAGAAAGAGATACTTTGTGAAACCCAAGGCTTGTTTTAAAGCCCAGCTTTGACAGTCTTCTTCAAGTGCAGGATAAGAATGGAGTAAGTACAGGAAAAAGATGTGACCTATTCACTGCAGTTTTGCAAAGAACATATTGGTGTGTGCATTAGACAATACACAGCAGATAGAGGCAGTAAAGCAAGCGGACAAAGTGACGTCCAACCAAACTCTTGACTTGGCTATGGGGATTTGTAACCGAGTCAGAGTGAACACAGGAATCACATCTGTCTTGAATGGAATATTGACACTATCAGGTTGCACTAGTATAGTCCTTCTGTGCATGATTGCAGTCAGATTTTCCCTGTAGTAAACCAAATGAGCCAAAACCCAGAATCGTGTCATCACACATAAATACTTGTTTAAATTGTTAAAATTGCAGTGAGCTCATATGAATAAGATGTGTTGTGTTATTGAGCTGGTTTTCTCTGGATCATCCGATCTGTCTCTTCAGTGAGATCATATAATTTCATACAGCATAAAAGCTGTATTTCATCTGTGTCTAATACCAATAATAAAAACCAAAGAAATAGTTCTGGTTTTTCTGACAAAAAGCAACAATCACTTATGAATTATGTAACATCATTTGGATTCCTTAAATTATCTTCTACCTTTGCGTGCAGAAACAGTATTTATAACTGGCTTGTTTTTACTGGCGGTACTTGGCTCTGATTGGTGGAAAGCACTAACATGCCACTGGAAATGGCTGTGGCCCTTGGTCTGTTCCTTTAGTTTTGTAGATGCATGAAGAATTTACAACATAACTTTGAAGTAGCAAGTGTTATATCAAACGTCAGACCTAAATCATTTATTAAAATGTATCCAAAAGCACTTGTAGATTTGCTTTCTCTTCTGTCACTGTTGCCTGTTTTTTTTTTTTTGGGCATCATTCCAGATTCCTTTTACATAGTTTCTAGGGATACAGTGTTTATCTGACCCTGGCCACATACCTGTCTCTCAGCAAGTGTCTGAAAATGAATCTTTTCATGCTTGGATTCTGTCCTGACCTTTTTATTTCCCAGTAAGTGCTTTCAGTTACAGGCATTTTTGAATAATCATTTTAGCTTCAGCAATATTTTAATGTAAAACATCTCAGTCAAAAGTGCAGATGGGAAGTGGTGGAAGACTTATTTAGTCATTAAGAAAAATAGCAATAACGCTATGTAAAAAAAAAAAAACTTATTATAAGTAAAAGTCCATTAAGCAGCAGAAAACTGAGCAGTTTTGAGTCGTTTACTGGCCTAAGTCAGTATTTTTCCTTTACAACTTATTTGTTTTTTTTCCCCTGTTTTTTATGAAAATGAATATTTGTGTGTTTTGCGCTGCTGTTTGGACAAAACAAGGCTTTTGAATATGTCAGCTTGCAATTTTGGAAACTTTGATGGGCATCTTCCTACTGTTTTGTGGTATTATTTTTGCTAATGCATTAATATGTAAAATGCAGCAGGTGGGTGTACCTTGATAGTGCTGTTTGTGTTTTAAACAGAGCTTTGGCTTATAGCTCTCTATTAGTGTGCATGTGAGCACTCTGGAGTCTCTGCTGCAGTTTTGGTAAAAAATCTTAACATTTTGTCAGACGTGTTGCCAATAAATGTCCACAGCCTATTAATTGTGTTGGATGTCCAATGTTCTTTCACTGGTGATACTTTGTTTCTTTCTGGCCTGGAGTACAGTGTAATTAATTTGACACTGAATACTTGTGTGACTCAAGTGTTCTCATTGCCTCACCGATTCATTTTTACTTGTTTTCTAACTTTTGTAAGGGTATCTCATTTTTCCCCAATGTCCTGTTGTGCAGTTATTTTTCTTTAGTATCACAATAAAAGTTTTGTGAAGGCATAATGGTTTCACTTGGTATCAGGATGGAAGTGGAGCACAGTGCTTCTTATGAGTTATGGCTGGATTGATGTTATCCACAAAGATATGAATCGGGGAGACATCTTATTTTCCCCCACACACCACTAATAAAAGTCTCTCTGAAATGAGGGAAACCACTTTAGACAATGAAAGAAACCCAACTAGCATTGCTAGTTATTTATTTAGATTAGTGAGGGATATTCAGACCAGTAGACCTTTGATAGTATTTGTTGCATTTCATCCTC